TTGAAATGGATCAAGATAATCGGTTTCATCCAAGATAGCTTGGAGCTGCTTATGCTTAGCATCAGGAAGTTCTTCCTAATGTTTAGTGGAATCTCTTTTTAGTCAACAGTCTTCTGTGAGATAACAGCAAAACTTTATTTCAGCAACCAAAGTTAACAGCTTGATTTCTGCAGCCCAAACTGCTATAGGCCCTGGTTACAAGCATATAGAAAGCATTACATCCCCCAGGATTTTGCAAGCTTTCCCTCCATTTGTCCATCACTTCAAACATTAACACATCCGCTGCAATTTACTCACACCTCAGACCCCTGCCATTCCTTCCCCTAAGACTGACCTTGGTGCTTGCTAGCACAAATGTTACACATCTGCTCATTAGCCAACCTTCTTTTGTATGGATAGAACATGTCCCATCATATACTAATATATATGTCCTCATAATATTATAGGACTGTCATTATGATGCTACTTGAACCCCACTTGAACCTATCCATAAGCCATACCATAACTATGAGTAATAATATAACCATATGCAATAGCAATTACAGAAAAAAGGAAACCAGCGATACTCTTTTATGGCAGGAGATGCCAGAATCCTGACATAAATACAATTTTGATTTAAAACAGGGTGCATGCTCCCCCATATTGTGTTTTCAAAAGTCACTTCAATTTTTAGTAAGCTTGGTATAGTCTGCGCCCCAAATCAGTTGGGCAGAGGGTCCTTCATATGTGAATCTCTGCCAGCAGAGAAGTTATCCACTCCTGAACATAGAGTTACAGGTACCTTCAAGAAACAAGACAAAAGCAACAGCTCTTCCCTGCTTTTTTTCTGGCTAAACAACATGTATTTGGAGGCTCCATTCTGCCATAATAGCTAACACCCTTTAGCAGAGACATCTTTCAAACAATCCTCTAATCTAATTTTAAAACCTTATATGCCTGTGGGCATCATGTGTATTGTGGCAGACAGCTCTATAAATTAAATTAATTTTGCATTATAAGAAGCACCACCTTTCCGCTTGGATTTGTGAAACACATTTGTTACCATGAACATTTAAGCTACTTAAATGCATTTTAATCAATTTTTAAGATGCCACACTGCACTTTTTCAATTTTTATGACTTCCAACATCATCTTTTCAGAATATGGTAAGCTAAGCTTCAACATAATAAAAATACAGTGAGAAGCAATCATAGTAAACTGGAATTGAATTTTAACTTAGGATGTTTTTTTTTATTAAAGGAATCTTTGTTTACAGTTTTATACAGGGTTTATTGTAAAATGGTTTACATTTCCTTCTCCCTCTTTTTTTTTTAAAAGAAAAAGCAGTACACAAAAGAATATATAATCCAGTTCTGGGTGTGGATGGAGATTAAAATAATATAGCACGGATTTCACATAAGGCTGTTTTCCATACTTGCACATTTGGAGGTGAATGGCCCCTTGCACCATGAGGAGCCAGGAAGCAAAAATATGAAGAGAAATATAGCGAGAGGCAAGATGGAAATGTATCTTTATTGAATTGCTATCTACATATGGTCTCCATCAGGAAAAGCTTTTTAAGGTTTGATACAGACTAGTGGTCTGCAGCCAAACATCTGCCTGGCCCACAGCCCCTTCGCTTCCCAGCCTGCCTGTCCATTCCTTCCTGCAAACAGCACAGCCCTCCTCTAATCAGGGATCCTTATATATTTCAACCGGTCACAAATTTTAATCTAGACTCTTCTTTCTCAACTTTTTTAGTCCCAGGCTTCCTCTCTTCCACTTCTACATCAAGCGCTCTATCTCTCGCAACCTCCTATATTTGTTGTCTCATGCTTCCACGCTTTAGTCTACCACCTATACACAGTGGCATCACTAGGGTCTGTGCCACCTGGTGCAGGAACTCATGGTGTCACCCTCCCCACCTCTTCCCATACAACACCATACAGAACCCTTAATGTTTTTTGTACTAATGTTACTGATAAATCATAATTCCCATATATCACTGAATGTAATGGCAATAGCTGTGACACAACAACTTTAAATTACACTTTCATATGCACACTCTAATGTATTTACATGCACATTGTTTCATGTAGTTAAAGTGAAAGTTGGGTAAGATGTGATGTTTTTAAAGAAGCAGCCTGATGACAACACTGTTGTCTGGACAGTCATGAGGTGTTAACCCTGTTGTCTGGACAGTCATGAGGTGTTAACAGGGTAAACGTCGAGGGTGAGATGGGGAGAGGGATATGTGTTACGAACAAACATACTGCACACCTGCTTAAGAATGTATCCCCCCCCCTCCTCATTGACCTCACTGCATAGTACATACCTCATTGCAAAGTACAGAATTAGTTCATATGCTATAGCCGCACCTAAATCCTTAAAGATGAATAAAACCCATTTTCTAAGTCAGGCCATCACTCATCACAGAACAAAATCAAACTTAACAAAAAGCCTTAGTAATTTTTTTCCTGTTTCTGAAAATTTCTTAAATTACTATTTCAAAATGCTTTTCATATTATGCCTTCAAGGTCTTTTGTCTTTCCTGTTACTAGAATGGGCATTACATATGGGAATTACTAATGCATATATCTTTGTTTAAAAGCCGATCTTCAATTTCTAAAGATGTGTTAGTGTATATATAAAAAAACAGGATTAAAGGACTTAAGGAAGACATGCATCAATTCCAAATACAGTCAGGCTGGGAAACAATGAAATGAAACAATGAAATAGGAAAGAGATTATTGTTTACATAAGCATAACAAATACACATTATTTTCACTTAATCCTTTTAATTCTGAAGTTGTCAAGAGAATTCAACAGCACCATTCAAAAGAAAACTTCAAGTCAGATAAAAGTTTTCTTGGCTCCATATCTGCTATCATTTTAGCTTTCTCTGAGGTATCACCATGTAATCAGTGACTCTACTTAAGATTTAAGTTTCTTCTTTTAAGTGTAGTTCTTTAACAAGAATAGAATAGAAACAGCAATCTTTTTAAAGATAACAGTAAGGAGTAGTTAGCTCATCGTATGTATACTTCAGGTGCCTGTGAAGGTACACAGAAAGAAAAGCAAAGAGAAACTGTCAGTATAATGAATGTGCAATCATGCTGGCCACAAGATCACAGAGTAGTCTCTGACAATGCTGGCTCTTCGTCTTAGTAATGGAGATGAGCATCATCTCCTACAGTCGGACACGACTTGACAACCTTGTCAATGGGAATACCTTTACCTTTAATGTCCCAAAGGAATAAGACCACAACTCTATCATATATACAATGAGCATATATTTATACGTAAGTAACCACACTGCAGTAATACTACAAAACACAGAATACACAGCACCAAATGCTATACAGAACTATACATCCCAAAGTATGATTTCCATAAGCAGTAGATAGCAAAATGTTCCAGCAAAAGGATTTCCACAAGTGGTAGATAGGTTTCAGACAATAGTAGAATGTGCTTTCTCTACTACTATCGTCTGCTACCTATCTACTACTTGTGGAAATCATTTTACTGGAACAGAGATTGTTAGGACCAGAGGAAGCACTGTGGACATACTGGGGTATATAGTTCTCTATAGCATTTTGTATTGTGTATTCAGTGTTTTGTAGAATTTTGTAGAATTTGTAACAATGTGGTTACTTACATATAAATATATGATCATTGTATATATGGTAGAGTTGTGGTTTCATTCCTTTGGGACATTGTTGGAATATAGTTCATTATATTGTCAGTTTCTCCCTGCTATTCTTTCTGTGTTTGCCGTGAAACCCTTCTGTTGTGTGTTTTCTGGCCTATGAAGGTACAGCATGTATGGTTCAAAAAGAGTCACCACTGTGTTGGGCAACTGCACACTGGCCATTAAGATAGAATGGGACAATGCTATGATACAGATCTCCAAATGCATACCCATAGTGCCTTTATCAGAAGGGAGCCAGTGTTAGTAGTTAATGCTGAAGAAATGTTAAAGTTTCTCTCAGTATCTAAGAAAGCAATGCAAAAAATCTACTGGAGAGTGAGGGAAGCATGCAGCATAAAGCCAGATTAACTGTGTTGACTTCAGAGTTTTGGGAGGGTGACCTTAGTCCAGCAACACCTCTTCAATGCCATCGGTGAAGCTGGCAAAGCTAAAAGTTGTAATACAGATAATAAGGTGACCCTATCATGGCAACATTTGTTCAGCTAAAGTTTGCCATTGCCTTCCCCTCAGGCTGAGAGCATGCAGCTTGCTCAAGGTCACTTCGTGGCTTTTCTGAGCAGGGAATCAAACCCTGGTCTCCAGAGTTATAGTCCAACACTGAAACCACTATGCCACACTGGCTCTCTCTTCATAAAAATGCAACTCACAACTGGTCTTCCAATTCCAATGTGAGAAGATACAAATATCTTGCACATGTGGCCCTGGAGGATAGGACCACATCCAGTGGTTTAAAATTACAGGAAAGAAAATTTTGACTTGAACATTAGAAAGGTAAGAGTGAGAGTAAGAGTGGTTCAGCAGTGGAATCAATTGCCCCTTCCAACTCTATGATTCTATGCTTCTAAGCTCTTGCAGCTTTGGTATGCAAAGATGATAAACAAGGTCTGTTGATTTTGCTGTTTACATATGGATAGCATATCTTTACCTATGGCAGATCACAATATGCATCCTTTAAAAACATCTTGCTTGCTAATTTCCATGTCCTAACAGAAGCAGCATTACATGAGCATTTCTGAGTAAACAATTACTGTGGTCTAGAGGAAAGATACATGGCTCAACAAGAATAAGGGTATGAGAGGAGACCCAGAAAAAGGAACTCCTCAACATACAACATTTTGTGATGCTGCCTCTAACACACACACATAAAACTTGAAATTATAGAAGAACACAGAAGGTGGTATAGCAACAGCTTATGATTCCTGAACAGTATAAAGATGTTTTATAGCAATAGCAAGTACATTTATTCAACTTGCCAGATCAGGCTAAAAATACAGCATGCTGGAGTTGCAAAATCACGTCTTGTTAAATCACCTCTTCAAATGGCAGAACCTGCACCTCAAGCTATGACTTGGCATTAGTATTTGGCAGTTTTATTTGGATACTCTTGTACTACCCTTTTATATTGCGGTGTAACCTTTTTGTTTAATTTGCCTTGCTGCAGTTTTAAAGTGCCTTTGGAATCATATTAAAGAATGGGAGTTGGAATGGGGGAGATCCCTAAAAGAAAAGAATAAAATCTGCAAGTTTGCTAAAGCAGACCTGATTTAGTGTTCAAGCTGCTAGCAACTGACCATATTTGCAGCACTGAAGGCTTTGGTTTTTGCCTTCAAGAAGGATGCCTCTTTCAGTCTAGGTGGGCTGTGGTTTGAACAGGTTTGCAGATGACACAAAACTGGGAGGAATGGGTAATAATATCTTGGGAGGTAGGAAAAGAATTCAAAAGCAAGCCTGAATCGAGCCGGATCCCTGGCTGGTATTGAACTTGCAACCTTGGGTTTGTGAGTGAGTGGCTGCAGTACAGGCATTTAACCACTGTCCTACCAGGGCTCTAATAGCACAGCAAAGATTAACCCCTGAAAGAAAATTGGAGCAGTAAAGCCTGTTGATGGATTCCCTGCCCCGTGATAATTTGTTAGTGATAACATGTGTACAAAGTTACAGTCCTGTACAATAAATAGGTAAGACCACAGTGCACAGGCCTATGGCAGTTTACTGAAAAGTCTCACAAAGTTCAGGGGACTTTAATGGACCCCCACTCCCGCCCAAGTTACCTTTCTATCAGAGCTTGGAAGTTGCCTTTTTTGATGACAGCTAAGCTGGCAGGACAGACTCTGGGATTCTGGGAATTGTTGTCCAAAACAAAGTGATTTTTCCAAACCCTGAGATACACAGGATTTCATCTGCAACTCCGTGGTGGTAAAAGCCGCCCCTCCTTGGCCTCTGTGGCTTGGTTGCACTGCTGTTGGTTTTCAATCCAGCTGCTGACATGGGTGGTGACAAGCTGGGTGCTTTGGCCACTGCCTTCCTGATTCTGCTGGGGTGGAAGGGTTGCGAGTGTATTGCTTGTGAAAGACCTCACAGTGGGAATTTCCACTGGGCAAGGAACATATCAACGGTGTCCAGGGACTGGTTGTGGAGCACCCTCTTATTGCCTGCACCAAATGGTGGACTATTCCCACTACCCCACCTTTGGTACAACCGCTGAATACATCCATTTTATGGAGGAGAAATAAGGTAGATTTAGCTTGATACACAAGCTGGAAAAGTCCCCTTTCAAAGAGAGCAGAGAACTGCTGTGAGAGAATGGAATACTATGCTGGGTCAAGGATAGATTCCCCTCTCCGCCAAAAAATGTGGAAGGAAATTATTTTGTCCCTAAAGTGCCAACAGTACTCCCAAGCCATTTCACCACATTTTCAAGCTCCCCTCCAGTTGCCTTTTCTAGTCCTTTTTTTGGGTCACCTATACAGAGCTCTTCTCAAAACTGAAAGTGATAGAACCAGCAAGTCCAAGGATTTCCTTTTTTCTCTCTTTTTTAAAAAAGGCATTTTTATGCCTAAAAACATGGTGGTGGGGTATGCCTGAACACTTAATTCACTTTTAAGTCCACCAGGGCCTCCAAGACAATGTACAATGGGTAAAATGTACAGTGGATAAAAACATTTAAAACGGTGAATGCATTACTAAAACACATTTTAAAACAAGGTAAAAACTCTATAACACGGGTCATTTTCAATACAGTTGAAAACAGCAGAGCAGCCAGTCCTAGTTTTAAGCACCAAAAGCCTCTAAAAGACATTTAAGACAAAAATATTTTTGGATCTTCAGAATCTGAGTGTTTGAGAAAGGGATGGGCTTGATCCCCCAAAAAGCTGGCATTTACTCATTCCTGGGTTTAGGTGAACCAAAGGCATCAGCATATGGCAAATTTAGAATATTCATAAAACAACTCCCTTCTAGAAGAAAGTCTGTCACACTTTGATTTTATTTGGTATTATAATGAAGATGTGGGAACCATTTCCCCAAGCAAACTTAATACCTAGAATACTTTCTAGACTGAATTCTGATTTTAAAAAGAGCTGCAGGGAGACTCATAAAAAGTTGCCTCACTCTGCACAATATATCATTTTATACAATATTCTTTTGGAAAAGGGCAATTTAGATGACAGTGCAGTCATTAAAGACTTCAAACCCAAACACCAAGGCACATTATCAATGTTTAACTCTTTTTTACAGCCAGACCACAGTCTTGCATTATAACCTGAAACTTTACAAAGTTTATGCTTTCGTATTTATTTAAACTCTTCAGTACCATGAAGCAATGTTTATCAGATTTCAAGACATGGGTGTATTCCCTTTGTATGACCTCACCCGGAGGGAACTTACACATTAATCTAACTTTTACATTGAGGGTTTTTTCTTTATTTCAAGGGTTAAAAGTTCACAAACCCAATAAGCAGCTTTGAAGCAAAAGGACATTTGTTTCCACAAAGGGCAGAAGATTTTAATATTCAATCCAAAACTAAAGAAAATTTCCAAAAATCCTGCAGTTTAAAATTCAGATTTAGCATTATAATTCAAAATGCTTACACAACTCAAATGAGAACCAGGTGGCTGAGAGGCAATGCCAAACCATGATGCAGTGTTATTCCTGAGGTGATCCAATGAGCTAATGAATTCAGTAAGCCAGTGGATCCTGGGGTCGGAGGGGGGACAGGATAGGCATATCTTGATGGTTAACTCATTCGGAAGACTTATCATCATTCATTAACTGATTCAGACTTCAAACACAGGCAAACAAGGCAACACCAGCAAAGGCCTTCGGATTAGGGAGCTAGGTATTTTTAGCCTGGAGAAGAGAAGGTTAAGAGGGGACATGATAACCATGTTTAAATAGCTGAAGGGATGTCATATTGAGGATGGAGCAAGCTTTTCTCCATGCTGCTCCAGAGACCAGAGAACGGAGCAATGGGTTCAAACTCCAGGAAAAGAGATACCACCTAAACATTAGGAAAAAATTCCTGACAGTAAGAGCTGTTCAACAGTGGAAGACACTACCTTGGAGAATGGTGGAGTCTCCATATTTGGAGGTTTTTAAACAAAGGCTAGACAGCCATCTGTCAGTTTGATTATGTATTCCAGCATGGCAGAATGGGGTTGGAGTGGATAGCCCTTGGGGGTCTCTTCCAATTCTATGGTTCTATGAGATTTACTCATTCCAGCCTCCAGTCTAGTTTCACAGGATTATCCAGTACGAACTACCTCCTCTCCCAAGTTTTGGGTATTTGGTGATGTAATTAATTTATCAATAAACACTGAGCTAATTCAGATCAATTCAGCCAGTTCAGGGTCACCTTTAGTTGGAGTCAACCTGAAGACACATAGCAACAAAAGCAATTCAGACTACTGATTTTGCAAAATCTATTTTGTGGTCTGGTAGTGGATCTGCTGCCAAACTTGTGCTCAGTCCAAAGGCTTCCTGATGAAATGGCTACAAAAATGAATGTACTGAATTCATACATGGCCAACTATCCTGTGTATCTCTGACTGGGAGTGTCAGACATTACAACACAATAGGGCAAAATTGGGTCATTGAAAAATACACATATTTTTCTTTAAGCTTTGCATCCTTGAGACTTCTGTACAAATATTACCTATATTAAATACATTATTATTATTATTATTATTATTATTATTATTATTATTATTATTATTATTATTATTATTATTATTACCCCGCCATTCTGCATAGCAATCGGGGTGGCTTCCAACATAAAAATACAATACAATATGTTCAACCCCAGACCTCAACTGTTTTGCTTTCAAAAGAGTTCTAGATAGTTGGGACATATGTCTGAGATAATATGATGTTATAAGCCCCACAAAACCTTAAATGGTCCAAACTCCAATACTCAGGGAGTGAATCTCCTGGTAAGTATCTGACCAGTTTTCCAAATGAAGTAGTGAAAAACAGGGGATACTCAGGATTCCTATTTTCTGCCAACCTTCTCCACAAGTCAAAGGGGCCTTTGCTTATCACTTTCTCCTTCAAGTGGGCATCACTTTGTTTCTTACAATAAAACAAAAAAATTTGATAAGTCTTTCTGGATAACCTTCCAGCTGGTTATTTAGTATCTTGATTCATTTATACAGTGTTTTACGGGTTTGGCTTCCATCTGCAAAACAATTTAATTCCAAGAAAAGCCAGAAGAAACAAACAAATGAAATCAACAGGACTGTTTTCTTTGCAGCGAGCAACTCATCTGGGAAGGGAGGGTCTTAAGTCATTACAATTTGTCTGAGTTCTTAGTTGAAGAACAGAGAATGCACAATAAGACAAC